TGTCCCTCCCTGTTAATTTTGTATTCCCAGAACGGTCTCTCCTGCTCACTTGCACATCCTCGATTACAAAACTTGTTGTTCATAACACAATACTATTTGGGAACGCAATTTTTTTTTGTCAATCACGTGTAATGATTCCACGTTAAACAAATTTATTAATAAACGTTTCTGGTCTCGCAATTCTTGTTTAAATTTAAAAATGACCGAAAAGAATAAAAAAATAATTACTATAGGAGTCAGGTAAAGTTGATTGAACTATACTTACATATATTTAAATCAAAAACTAATTTGAAAACAATTCACTCGATATTATTTTTAGTGGAGTATCTTGTTCAGGAAAAACTGTAAGTAATAATGATAATACAAATATATACAAATATTTATAATATTAACTATAACAATTATAATAAAAGATTTTGGTAAAATGTCTTGAAAAAATCTTACCAAACCCAATTATACTTTTCCAAGATGATTTTTTCAAGGTAAATTATTTATTTGCTAATTTAAAATAAATAAAATTAATCCTCACAATTTATGCACATTATTGTAATGATTAATATATTAAAGCCTGATTCGGAAATTCCATTAGATATTAAGACAAATTTACAAAATTGGGATTGTCCTGAAGCAATAAACTTTTTATCATTTCATAAGACTTTAAAGATTTTACGCAACAACAACAATATTAATGATGATATCAGTAAATCAAAAACTGATGAATTATATGAAAAAACTATCAAAGAATTACCAAATAATTTAGTAAAAGAATTGTCAAAAAAAATTGAAGATGTAATTATTAATAATAATACTGTTGATAAAGATGATAATATTGATAACTGGAAATTTATTTTAATTGATGGATTTTTGTTGTATTGGGAAAAAGAAATTTTTAAAGAAATAGATTTGAAATTTTTTATTCAAGCAGATTATGAAATTTTGAAAGAAAGAAGAGATTCAAGGTCTAAATACATTACATTGGAAGGTGAGAAGAAAGATCGTTTATTTACATGGTATAGTTAATTAATATTATTGATATTGATTATTTATTATTATAGGATTTTGGATTGATCCACCAAATTATTTTGATGAAATAGTTTGGCCAAATCATGTTAAATATCATAAACATTTATATTCAGGTGAAAAAGGAATTAGAATAGAAGATTTAAATATTTTAGAAACAAATCATAGAGATTCTTTAATAAATAATATTAATAAATCTGTTATGATTATAATAGATTATATAAAAATAAGTATTTTTAATAAACAATAATATATTTTGTGAGATATATATATTATAAAATCATTTTTTTAATTAATCAATTAATTAACCATCATTTTGTCTATCACCTTACTAATCTTTTGAAGTATATCAACTTTCCTTCTTCTTGCCATCATCATTTGACACTTTTTTTCTTGTCTTTTATTCGCTTCATTTGTAATTTCGACATCACAAGATGCATCTACATTATCAGTGCACAAACATAAATATATAATTAATATCAGCACTTTTATATACATATATACACAAAGATATTTACTTTTCATGCAATCTTCTTTATTTTCCAAATTATTGGAGTCCAATTCGTTATTCTCATTATTGTTTTCATTCCAAATATTACCAGTATTATCCGCAATATGTTGTTCTTGCTGCTCAGCCCAACTATTGCCATCGCCGAACCTCTTATCCTCATTTAAATTGCTTGAAAATTCCTTTGATTGATCACTGTATCGTCTAGATCCACCACCGTCATCTCTTTTACTAGCACCTCGTTCACTTCTGCCACGCCCTCGCCCCCTTTTCCCGTCTCCGCGTGATGAATTTCTTGTGACATTTCCTTGTTCGTCATCATTATCATTGTGTTTTTGTCCTGCATCTTCCTTCCAGCCAGTTTCATTCTTTCCTCTATCCCATTCTCTATTGTGACTATTTTCTATTTTTCTTTGTGCATTCCTTTCACGTTCCATGCTTTTATATATTATAAATATTATAAACACTTTTATGAAAAGACATTATCTTTTTTTATTTAACAAAAATTAACACATACTAGGTTTCTTCTTGTAATTTTTTTTTTTGCAATTCGCGTCTCTTTCTTATTTCTTCTTCTTCTTGAAGTATCATCTTTTGTCTTTCATAATCTTCTAAATCTCTTTTGTTTCTTTCATCTTCCTCTTTACGAAACCTTTCTTCCTCTTCTTCAACTAACTATGTTTTCATAATATATAAACATAGATAGATATATGTACTTATTTATTCAATAAAATTTTATTATAATATATAAATAAATAAATAATAATGAATAAATACTTTTCGTTTTTCAATTAATTTTTTATTTTGTAAACTCATTTTTTCCATTAAATCTTTTAATTGAGTCTCGTTCATTCTATCCATTCTCTGAATATATGAATATAAGGTTTGAAATAAAATAATTGATTGATTAACATCACCATCATAATAAAATAAATAAATTGGTCGTTATATATATATACGGTTTTCAATGACACTAACCCGAGAAACACCACCTGATTTTACTCGGTTCTCATTAACATATGGAGCTGATCCTCTTTTAGGTGCATGTATGCTCTCATATAAACTTCCGGGTTTTCTTTCCTTGGGACTTTGTTCAGGGCTGTAATCTTCATTCTTGTTGTGGCGATTGTTTTTGTTGTTATTGTTATTATTATTATAATTGTTGTTATTACTATTATCATCATTATTATTATGATTATCATTATGATCATCTATTTCAAAATTGAATTCAATTTATAAAATTAATTTTTTAAATACAATTCAATGTTTACATAATAATTTTTATATATATAAAATAGCCTACAATTATATCTATAGCCACCACCACCATTCGAAAAATCTCTTTGCCCATATCCTCGATAATCTGATCCTCCGCTGGAATTACGCTCAAAGTTATCCCAATTTCTTTGTGGCGATTCTCTTCCTCTTCCACCACGTCCACCACCACCACGACCGCCACCACGACCACGACCGCCACCACGACCACGCCCGCCACCACCACC